ATAAGCTATTAAGAGCTAACTAGTAAACCTATTATTAGATTATATATAGTATCCTATACTCTAGGAACCCTAGGTATATAGAGAAAGAAAAACTATAATTATACTTAGTAAGTAAGAACCTAATCCGCTCTAATTAAACCTACTCTATAGAGGATTTCTATTATATATATTACTATATATATTAATAAACCTCTGCTACTATAACTACTATCCTAGGCTAAGACCGTATATATAATCCTATAGGTAGTAGAATAGTAGACAGTCGAATAGTAGAATCTATTATTAAGATTCTACTACACTACTCTCTACTTATCTATATAGGAAGAACTTAAGGATATATAAGGATACTTATTTATATATCTAGTTTAGTTCTTTATCTTTAATTATATATTATTACTTATATTTACCTTTAGACTACTATAACTCTTTACTTAATTATAACTTAATAACACTTACAAGTAGACTAATACTTCGGTATAGATCTACTCGGCGCTCTTACTAGTATCGTTCCTCGCTCTCTTAATAGGACTTAGGCTATAGTAAGGCCTTACAGGCAATAGCTTAATTGCGACAGATCGTTAACGTTAGATACACGAGGAGTATTAAGGCAAGTATACCCGGAACCCATCTAACCTAACTGTGACCAGTTAGTAGTACGTAACAAGAAGGTTAGTTAGCGAGAAGAGCTAATAGCTTATTTTAACCTTCGTATATATATAATAAAACCCGAAACTATAGTATATACTAACTACTTTAGGAACCGATATTAATAACCTATACTAATTCTAGAGATAATATAAGACCTAGTTCTTAACTCTTATAGTACTAGCTAGGGATATTTTCTCTATTCCTACTATAGGTACGGGGGTTAAGCGCTTGTTTAGCTTAGCTTAGGATATCTACTATTATAGATATAGGTCTCTAAATATAATGACTATTTAGGACCTAATAATACTTCGCTATATAATATCGTTTAATATTAACTATACTTAAGGCTAGCTATCTATAGAAAGTTAAGACCTAGGTAAGAGGATAGAGGCTAACGAGGAGGTAAAGGCCTAACTATCTAATTATAATATAGTCGCTATTAGCGATAATAAGGAGGTAAAGTCTAAAGCTAATAATATAGACGAGTAAGTTTATAATACTTTACCTAGTATTTAGGATCAAAACCTACTTATAGATTAGGAGGTAGACTCGGTTAAGCTTCTATCTTACTAGTATCTAGTAGTTAGAATTATTTAAAGCGATAGCTAGTATCTATATAGGGAACGGAAGCGTTAGAGAGATAACGATAAATATATATATACTAAGAGGAGTAAATAAAGAGTAAATAATTAAATAGATCTAATATTAAGTTATGACCCTTTCCAGATTTTTAGAAAAACTGTAAATAAAATACCCCAAAATTACTGGCTTTTCTATATAACTTATATATATCATAAGACTAGCTGTGTTTGCATAGTTTACAGTGCTACAGTACTCCCGCCGCAGTACTATAGTACCGAACCAAGTGTCTGGTACTGCCAAGCCTTAGTGCTATAGTACCGAACCAAGGGCCTAGTGCTACAGCAGCACTGGTGCTGCAGCACCGGTGCTACGGGACTTATCAAGGCCTAAGAGAGAGGCTAAGCTTACTACTAACGTGCCTAAACTAATTAGCGATAGTAAAGATTCTAAGGATAACGATCCTATTAGACTAATCGAGTACAAGTTTATAATAGAGAGTTAGGTTCCTCATCCTTCTATCGTACTAAGTATATAAAAGCGATAGAGAAGTGAGCTTATCGATAATAAAGATAAAAGCAGTCCTTATCTCCCTCTTTATAGAGATAAGGTTAGTACTTAAAGGCGCCCTGGTTTAAGAGAAGTAAGGAAGCGTAGTAAGCCTAGTAATAATTAATTTATATTATATTAGTATGAATATATAATGACTATAAGTCCTGAGGTTATTTTATAAAAGCTTCTAAAGCTTAATTTTCTAACCCCGGTCAAAAAACTGATAGTTATATTAAATTATTATATAAAGGCTTCTATTACTATTTTCTAACCCTAGTTAGAAAATTGACTGTCGAGTTAAATCATTATATAGAGGCTTCTAAAGCTTAATTTTCTGACCGAGGTCAGAAAATTGACAGTAGTACCAAATCATTATATTAAAGCTTCCAAACCTACTATATACCGATGCCACTACTATATATATGTAATTAAATTACTTAAAAATACAGAGAAAAAATGCACAAATAATGCAAGTCACGAGGTTAAGAAATTTTGCTTACTAAAAAGGCCCACGGGCGCCTATGACGCCTATGGCCCGTAGGCCCTAAGGGTAGGGCCCGTCTATAGGCCTATCCATAGGGCCCATTTCCCGCTTACATAAGGCCTATGGGCTATGCCCACCCGCCCGTCCATGGGCGATATCGCAGTCTACGTCCACCAGCCTTTGTAAATTTTAGAGTTATCATTCAAAAGATGGAAATTCGTGTGCTGTGTCTTGGCGCCAAGCACTTCTAAATGGCCCCAAAAAAGTCCAAGGATTTTTCAAGGATTCTCCACATAATTATGTTCAAATAATTGGACTTGATTATCCAATAGTAAGAATCATTGCAATTCAATGGTTAGGATCATGGTTTTCTAAATAATAAGGCTTCCCATACCCCTATAGATACCAAAGCTGAAATTGGCGTACGGAGCACTACCCCGTATGGAGTAGAGATTAGGGTCCCAACAATGTAACAAGATAAGAAAGGTAACAGACGCCTTATATCCACTCCTTGTCAAATGTAACCTAGCCTTGGAGTATAAATGAGTGATTAATATAGCGGGGTCTGTGCGAACAGAGTAGAGTGCCGCGTGGTGTCTATAAAAAGAAAACATTCCACTTCAGATAGAATATTCATGCATGTACTCCGTAGAGTATGGAGTATAGAGCATACTGTAATTCAACTCTACTAAACTCCGTATACTCCGAATTATAAAGATAAGGTCAATATAGTAAGATGTATAGATGAAACACATACGGATTGTCTAGCCTCTCCGGATATTGAATCGCGCTAATTTAGTCGAATCTCCCCACACCCCCCTTTTTCTTTTCAAGTCTTCTTTTCTTCTCTACACTCTTTTAGGGAATTGTATCTTTACACTCATTCAATTGATTTAAATATCTTTACATTCTTTAACCCACGTTAATTCGATACATTCCAGACCCTGCAAACTCTCCGCGACACTCCTGCATATCTTTAAGTCTCAGCATTTAGACCAGCGCTTACTGAAACTGTCGAGTAAGCCCAGCCTCTTATTTATATCACATTGGGTGTCAATTTGGATCAGAAACTGACCCATGGTTCTGCCTTCTGCACAGAAACGTCAAGTTTCCCTCCGCAGCTCCGCTCACATTACGTTCCACCACGTTCCACCAGAGATCGTTACTTTCTATATCAAGCACATAGCCGGCATTCCAAGTTCCAGAACCTCAATTCTTGAGCATATTCATCACTACATTTCGGCACAATGGGTCTCATCGATAAGCTACAAGCCAGTACGTTCCGCAACTCCCGAAACCCACCCATCAAAATGCTACCTCTTCGCGGAATGGCATTCCAACCATGAAATGCTAGGAAAGATAACTAATATTGAAGCAGAGCTCGAGCTCTACCGTCTCGAACAGCGATATGCCCGCCGCAAGCACCGTAGCACATTCTCCACCGGTGCCCAATACGTCGACGGCGAATATGTCTACTCGAATGGCGCAAGCTCGCCTACCAGTACCGTCTCCAAACACTCCACTGGTAGCTGGCGCCCATCAGGATGGGGCAGCCAGTCATCGCGATAGTGATGGACATTTCAAGTCGACATGCCTGAGCGATTCTTTGTGTTATTGGCGCCATTCTTTTTTCTTCTACTTGTCTTTAGCATTTTCACCCCTGTTCACTCCTTTCTGAAGACCTTTTCTTCTGTTTGTTTTATACCTTTGCGTGATGCTTCCACGCAGTCTCGACGAATCCTTGTACAGTCACACACGTCTGCTGTTTTTGCCTTTTCTGGGATTGTTTACTTCCCTTGCCCAGGTGGCGTCTCGGTCTTATGATTTCTATGTGTCAGTGAGAAGCATATTCGAAAAGTTGGAATCTGCTTTCTCCTTGTGGATTTTGATATGTCCTGCGATATGTCTGCTTGGTTCTGATCTTCATGTTTCATAGTTTTCATCTTGGGGTCTGATGCTCATAATCAAACATCTGAGAATCCATTCATCTCTGAGATTTCTCTTATCTGAATCCTCATTACAAGAATAGTCGGTCGCTTATATGGCCTCTGTCCTTGACCACATCGAAGTCTAATGGCCCGATGGGTATTAGGGGTATTACATGTGAGTATACTCCGACGCGTCTTTGGATGTTCATTTGGACGTGCACAACGTCGCTTACAAAAGACTCTTGTATGTATAGCCAAGGGTCATACGTTGGAATTTGGATTTAAAAGGGGGTGATCCAAGTAGTCAAGGCTTTGTTTCGTTGATTTCGGTTCTTTGTTTTTAACTTCTTTCATACTGCTTAAGGATAACTGTACATACTGGACCCAAAGACATTAATACATCTGCAAGAGCATCAAGTCTATAAAAGGATTACAGAGTAGAGCATCTGTAGGCTGCAGCCCTGAGTACTGAAATTCATCTTCAGAATATAGACCTGGCCCAAGGCGGTAAGCTCCGAGGCCGCGGACTTACGTCACACCACCGCTCTGGTCTCTCCATCTCCACACTGCCAACGCATCTTCCTCATTCTCTGATTGTATTTTAACTTCTGACTTCGATCGAAAAGCTCCCGGACCATTTGAGATTTCTTATTCGCGCAACTTCTCGCCAGACCTACAACCCAAGCTCGACTTTGAAGCTCCTGACCGTCTCGCGACGCCCCAACGCGCTAAGATACCTTCGATTCACCATGAACAGTGCTTAGCCGACCATAGCTGGGGAAAGATTGCAGCCTAAGCTGCATTGAACGATGGATCAAGCAATCCAGCGATTATTAAACGATAAGCTCTACGACAGGAGGAAGCAAGGAGCTCTGGAGTATGCCATCTTAGTTTCATCCCTCCCCACTTGAAAGAACTCGTGCTGATCACTGTTTACTACACTAGGCTCGAGAAAATTGTCCGTGACGCCGTTTGCCACGGGGAGCATGAGAAAATACAAAAGATCGTTGAACAACTCTGCCATGACTATGCATACGCCGTGCACCAACCCCACGCCCGAAATGGAGGTCTTATCGGACTGGCTGCTGCCTCTATTGCACTAGGATCGGTGAGTAGTAGTCATAATCAGGGACTTGTGGACCCTTTGGCTAATACCTGGGATATAGGAAGGGGTTGCGCCGTACTTGGGTGAAATTGTGCCGCCTGTGCTCGCATGCTTCTCCGACCAAGATGCGCGAGTGCGGTACTACGCATGCGAGAGTATGTACAACATAGCTAAAGTGGCAAAAGGAGAGATACTGCTGTTCTTCAATGAGGTTTTCGACGCGCTGGCTAAGGTGAGGAGTGCCGACAAGTCTAAGTGGGGTAACGCACACGCTGACATGCAATATAGCTGGCATCCGATGCGGAACTATCGGTCAAGAACGGCGCGGAGCTTCTAGATCGTCTAGTCAAAGATATTGTGGCTGAATCGGCAGCCTCGTATGTCTCGATCCTACAACTTTCTGGGAAGGAACCCCCGGAATTGGATAATCAGGAAGACCAGGAACTTCCCATGGCCTTCTCTCTTGCACGATTCATCCCTCTACTCAAAGATCGAATTCATGTGATCCAACCGTTCACACGCAACTTTCTGGTTTCATGGCTTACTCTTCTAGATACAATCCCTGACCTAGAGCTCGTGAGCTATTTGCCTGAGTTCCTGGAAGGGCTGATCAAGTTCCTTGGTGGACCCAACAAAGACGTTAACATTGCAACTCAGGGTTTGCTTGATCGGTTTTTGGCGGAGATCAAGAGGATTACCCGACTTAAAAAGGGGATTGAAGAAAGCCGGAAGGGCCAGAAGAGCAACAGAGGCTCGGCCAACAGCGATGCGATCAGCAGCGTGACGGAGCAAAATATCCAGACCGATGGTGGTAGTGATGACAGGTATGACATTGCCGTCGCAGACTCGGCCTCGGATACGACGCTCGACGAAATGGATCAGGCCGATGGAGACTGGATACCAGGACAAGATGTACAAATCGACCACCCCAAGATTCTTGGTATCCTTGTTAGCTTTGTCAACACTTCATATGGTAAGAGCCACCGCAAATCTCGGTCTTCACGTGCTTACATTCGTTCAGAGGAAGAAATGCAATTAACGGCCCTTCGTTGGATCGACTCCTTTTTCGAGATAAGCCCTGAAGATATTCTTCCTTTTGTTCCGCGACTGTTGACTCAGGTTCTCCCGGCCATGTCCAGTGGCTCAGAGCAAGTACGAAAAGCAGCACATCAAGTCAACACCTCCCTTGTCCAATACATCTACTCGTTGTCAGATGATACGACTGAGGAAGCTCAGGTGCCACCGTCAAAGATCCCTTCCGCTACGACGAGCAAAGAGACCATAGAGCGAAGATCGTCAACTCCTGGAGTCAGGCCTTCAGAGACAGCGAGCGTTGACACAAGGAAACAAACAGCACAAGATAATTATGTCGCGGCTACACCACGTAGTAGTGTTGTTTCCACACCGCTGCCTCCTGCCGACCTTGATTATGCTGCTGCTGTCAACTCTCTCACCCTACAATTCCTCAATGAAAATGAAGCCACTAGAGTTGCGGCCCTTGCATGGCTCATCATGCTCCACCGTAAAGCCCCGCGAAAGGTTGTGGCTTTCAACGACGGTACCTTCCCAGCTTTGCTAAAAACGCTATCCGACCCTTCAGAGGCGGTTGTAACCAAAGATCTGCAACTCCTTTCGCAGATATCAAGAAACAGCGAGGATAGCTATTTTACCTCTTTCATGGTCAACTTGTTGCAGCTCTACTCTACAGACAGACACCTACTTGAAGTGCGCGGAAATCTAATCATCAGGCAGCTTTCTTTGAACCTGAGCCCGGAGCGTATCTACCGGACTCTGGCAGATTGCCTCGAGAAGGAAGAGGTAATTTTTATTGCACACTTACGGGAGAGTATATGCTAACGTATCATCAGGATCTCGAGTTTGCCAGTATCATGGTCCAGAACTTGAACAACAACCTTATCACTGCGCCCGAACTCTCGGAATTGAGAAAGCGCTTGAGAAATCTCGACTCGAAGGTAATACCCTCGGACACCTTGTCCTACGTTCTTGAGACTAATGAATTATCTAGGATGGTCAAATGTTCTTTGTTGGGCTTTTCAGATCGTGGTGCCACAACGCCGTCTCCACGTTTTCTCTCTGTCTTCTTGCACAGGCCTATGAACAGGCATATAATCTCCTCCAGATCTTGTGCGTATATCAGCTCTGTTCACCACGATAATCTACTGACAAGACCATCCATAGTGCCGAATTGGAGATGACAGTCAATATGCTAATCCAAATCGACAAACTAGTGCAACTACTAGAGTCACCAGTATTCACATGTACGTCTCTTTCCATCAACACAACCCCAATCTCAGAAGCTAATCCCAACAGATCTCCGTCTCCAGCTCCTCGAACCTGAAAAATACCCCTTCCTCTACAAATGTCTCTACGGCGTCCTTATGCTCCTGCCCCAGAGCTCTGCCTTCGCCGCCCTCAAGAACCGTCTAAACAGCGTCAATAACATTGGTTTCCTCCACGGTGGACCCCGAAGGTATCCCCTCCGCGCCCCACATTTAACCCAAAGGTTTACTGAAACGGTCTTCGTTAGTACTACTCAAACAGCCCCATCCTTCGACCGTTCCACGGGTACCCGTCTGAAATCCCGTGACGAGAACTCCATCCGCTGGGTCGAACTCCTCGACAAATTCAAGGCCGTTCAGGAACGAGCTCGTCGATCCCAGGGCTCTACTCGCCAGTCCTTTGACCAATCTGGTCCGCCAATGAACCCCACTCTTACAGCTGCTCTCTCCGTCGCTGCTGCAGACCGTCCCAAGGACAGATCTGGTCTGCCTGATGCTCCACGCGGTGCTCCAGGACCAAGTAACGCCGGCGCTGGAAATACTGGCCTGGGAGGCCCTGGTCCTAGTGCTAGTGGCACTGCTACTGGACGTGCGTTGGACAGTAGTGCGGCGAAGAGTGCACCTACTCATAAACACAAGTCGAGTCTTCCCAATCTGGGACGTCTGGGGATTGGGGGACGGAAGTCCAAGAAATAGTTACTTATGTAGCTCATCTCCTCCATAGGTCTTTTTTTTTCTGTCATGTATTTAGCTGGATTTCGTGGTGATCATACCCGGGATCCTTCGTGTGTAGATAATATCAGATTTCTTACATCTCTTGACTTGACTCCTCGACATCCATTCAGTTACCTTTTAGTATGGTCCTTTGGCTATGATATTCTCAATCTCCATATATTCTTCGGCAGGATGTAGCTCTTTGTGATACAAAAACAAACCAATAATATTGAATCAGCTCTATAGTCATAATTCTTCGTTTCCCAAATGAATACGCTTGCAAAGATACAATGTGTCCCAATAATGCAAACTCCGAATCTTCCCAAATATGCCAAATAAGTGTATCAGTGACTGATGTACTGGAAAATAGCCGAAACATCCTGCTCCGATGTCTCTTGACGAAGAAGCAGATCCTGAATTTGATTAAGCGGCCCCTTCTCGCCCGTATTGACAAAATGGTTCCACGAACTAGTATCACCATACAACATAGCGGGTGCCTTGATATATTGCAAGCCATCAGGTCTGCACCGTTTGCACTTGAAGGTGTCATGGGTATCGCTCCGAGTATCTGGTTTGAACTGGAAGAGTTCACGCAGGGAGTCGAGGGAGAAATGACGCTCGACATCTTCTGCGGAATCCACGACACACGATGAAAGCGATTGTTTGTGAGATTGACGTTGGAAGATTTTCTCTTCGATTGACCCTGTCGCGATGAATCGGTAGACGAAACAATCTTTCTTTTGTCCATCTCGCCACACTCGTGCTAGAGCTTGTTGGTCAGCGGCTGGATTCCAGTCTGGATCGAATAGGACCAGTCGGTTGGCGCCGATCAAATTCAGTCCGCATCCGCCGGCTTTGCTACTCAGCAGGAATACGAATTCTTGGCCGTCTGGGTCGTTGAATTTGTCGACTAGCTTTGTGCGCTTTTTGATGTTCATGGTACCGTCGAGGCGTAAGGAGCCGTAACCCCTTGATCGACAGAGCTTTTCGAAAAGATCTAAGGTTTGAGTGTAATTGCTGATGAGGACGATTTTGTCGTTGGTGTCTTGTCGGATTCGGGCTAGCATGCGGTCAAGTACCATCATCTTGCCAGAGTACCAACTCTTGACTTCTCTATCGCGACCCCGAGTATCGGGGGGTGCATAGTCTTCGGGGAATGTGTGTTCGCATCCTGGAAGGTCGTTCGCTAAATCAAGTAGATCTGGATGATTGCACAGCTTTTTCAAAATGCCAATCGCTTTCAGAGGCTGACTGCCCTTTCCGCGAAGAAGGCTTTGGATCTCCGGGCTCTTGATGAAATGGTTGTACAGACCGCGCTGGAACTGTGACATGTTACAGAACACAACATGCTCGTATTTGACGGGCAAGTATTTTGAGAGGAGCTCATTGGTTCGGCGGATAATGAACTTGTTGACAATCCCAGAGAGCTCCTGTAACCGTTCATCTCCGAGCTTCTTTTCTTCATCTGTGCCTGCGGCATCCCGGCCCCGCAAAATCGGGAGTTCGAACCTCTTGCGGAACTCTGCTTGGGAGCCGAGGAGATTCGGGTTCGCAAAGTGAAGAAGAGCGAAGTACTCAGACAAATCATTCTGGATAGGTGTTCCAGAAAGAATCACTCGGCGAGTAACATTGAGTTGATTCAAAGCATTCCATGTCAAGCTTTCTTTGTTCTTAAGTCGATGGCCTTCGTCACATAGAAGAAGTCCGATAGGGGTATTATTCAAAGTATCCGCATACATACGGAGTGTCTCATAGGACACAATGAGAACAGGCCTGACGATTCCACGCCCCGATGCAATAGCCCACTGCTTGATCTGGGTTATTAACTCGGCTTTCGTGGCCTTTCCATCAATCGCAAAAGGGGTGGTGGCATCCTTTCCAAGCCATTTTACTGATATGGTCAGTTGAGTTGATAAAAAGTAATGCCACGCATAACTCACCCAGTTCGTTGGCCCAATTACCAACCAAACTTGACGGACATGCGATCACGCATTTTTGAATAGTAGTTTTTCCGGCCTCTGATGACTGCTTGAGTAGCGTCCACATCAACGCGATGCATTGAAGCTGTGTTCGTTAGAACCAAGGTATGAAAATGGAGTTGGCCGAGCTCACCGTTTTACCAAGTCCCATACCATCTGCCATGATGCATCCATTTGCATTCTTATCAACCAGCCCAGTAACACATCGATAGAGGAACTAAATGTAAAGCATAGCGTCAGCTTTGCTCCTATCGCACAGCTTATCTCAGGTCGCAATACCTTCACACCCTCGACTTGATGAGGACGAAGCACTTTGGACAATCTCGGATCAATCACGACAGGCACCTTTGGCCTGTCTTCCACGTTCTTTTTGATCCCCAGAATGTCTGCTAGACTCTTATGCACAATTGGCTCATCCAACTTTGGCATGTCCTCCGTCGGTGCCTCCAGGGCTTTGGGCGCAGGTTCCTCGGGGACATCGTCTACTGTAGGGTCGTATAAAACAATGGCGAATTCTCCACTGGGGTCATGTAGTGGCTTGACCACAAATGTCGCTCCTCGTCGCATGCCCAATGTCGGAGCCATCCGACCGGAGCTATACTCGCCGGTGGCTTTGTTGATGAACGGAACCTGAAATCTTGACCTGAATGCCACCTCTTTGTCCTTCGGTTTATATGCGGGGAATTTGTTGCATTCTCTTGTTTCCAAAGCGAGACGGTCATCGTTCGTGTATGGCTTCTCCTCTCCATCTTCCACGCTTCCATCGGCGTTGGCATAGTTGACTTTGCGTCTCTTTCTTGACGGTTTTTCAGATGCTCGAGTCGGTGTTGCGGTTCCTGGGCATTTGAATGGCCTTACAAGTCGGTCAATGGAATTCTGAGTGTTCACTGATTTCGGTTGTAATGGAGTCTTGACGCTGTCGTCGCTACCGACCGGGCGTTGTCGATACCTTCCAGCCATATCAGTCAGCATAGAAGCTTGAAAACAACTAGGATAAGGGCTTACATTGGTCCCAAAATAATATAAAACAAGTACACCAAGCTCCTGCTGTACAATGATCCCAAAGTTGTGGCGAGGCAAGTGCGATATGTCGACGCGTCGCGTCAGGCTCCCAAACACCAAACTGCCGCGTCCCAAAATAACTGACCGCCCAATGGGGTAAGGTGGTCCAAGCTCACGTGGGGCCTTATTTTTAGGAGGTCACGTGGATCCCCTTCTATACTCAAACAACATGGAACTTACCTGTAGCTTATCTCTCCCTGTATCACTCGAGCTGGTGGAACAATCTCTCATCATGCCAAGCCTGCCTTTACTAAGAGGAAGGGGTATTTGTTTAGAAGACGCCTTAACTGACGACGACAACATCCTGCACCGTTTAGACTACCCGCAGAAACAGAAGGAGTTCTGGTCATACCTACTCGCCCACCGAAGTGAAATTGAAAGAGTGGTTTCATTTCATCTCCGTGCAAATTGTTGTCGAGTCGCCGATGAAGCTGATTGGCTATTTGGGAGCTACAATGTCTGCATCCCAGTCTATACCAATTTACCATCAGACGAGTGTGTCCTTATTCGAGTTCCGCTGCCTTACAAAGTTGGAGAAGAGAACATACCAGGGAACGTCGATGAAAAATTGCGCTGCGAAGTCGCCACATACATTTGGATACGCGAAAATTGTCCAGATGTTCCAATTCCCACACTCTATGGATTTGCATTTCGAAACGGGCCAACGGCATGTGAGCCTATATGTTCTATTTCCTTGCAAGACTAACTTTACTTTATTAGTTTGCTGAAGATAGCTGCATGGACTTTGCTTCTAGGTGGCGTTGGCGCATCATGCAATCCATGCGATCATGGTTTGGGTTCCCCAAAACATGCCCATATATCGGTTTCAGAGATAATAGTGTGCTGAAAACCGGATACATGATCATCAGCTTCGTGAGGAACGGTCAAATACTCTCCAATACCTGGGCGGATTACCTGTTAAGTGACAAGATACGAAGGCAGACTCTTTTCGGTGATATCGCAAAGATCATGCTTTCCCTCAATCGCGTCAAGTTACCCCGAATCGGCTCCTTAATTTTGGATGAGAATGGGCTTATTGAGTTGAAAAATTGTCCACTAACATTAAGACTCCAAACATTCGAAAACGAAGGCATTCCCACGATACCAAAAGATTGTACATACCAATCTGTGGAGCCATATCTTTTGGGTCTTTTGCAGCTCCACGACAACCGCCTTCATCACCAGCCAAATGCTATTCATAATCTGAATGACGGCCAGGAACAATTTGCGGCTTTAACCATGATGCGTGGTCTCATGCATCAATTCATTTCCCGTCAATACCGTAATGGGCCATTTGTACTTACGCTCACTGATCTCCATGCAAGTAATATCTTTGTTGATGAGGATTGGCATATTACGTCCTTGATTGACCTGGAATGGGCATGCTCTTTCCCTATTGAATTACAAATACCCCCTTACTGGTTGACCGGTCGACCTATTGATGATATTGAACATGGAGAACATCTCGATACTTTCCGAGAAGTCATGACTGAATTTATAAATGCCTTTGAAGAACAGGAAAGAAATGTCCAGACTTCAGCCCCTTCTCAGGCCGAGATCATGCGGAAATGTTGGGAAAGAGGTAGCTTCTGGTATTTTCAGGCTGTCAATAGCCCGAAAGGTCTACTTCGGGTATTCAATGAGCACATCCAACGCATGTTCTGTGAGGAGCATTGTACCCAGCGAGTGTTTGATCGGACTGTCAGTCCATACTGGTCTGTCGGGGCTGAAGAATTTATTCAGAGGAAGGTGGAGCAAGAGGCAGAGTATAAAGATCGACTTAGGAAGCGGTTCGGTGAATGTGAATGTGAATCAAAAAGCTGATCTGTCAAGATAGAGAGGGCTCTGTCTCGAATCATTCATCTGTCTCTCCATGTATTTCTACCAGATAACGGAGCTCAGCAATGAAGTTCGTTTTGCAAAACTCGCCGCATTTGCATGCTTTCAGTTGCTTCTTTTTCAAAAGTTATTTTTCAGTCCTGACTACTGCGAATGGATTTTCCTTTTGACATGATAAATTGTCAGATTTCTTATATTAGTCCAAAATATTAAGCCAATGTTGGCAGGAGTTCGTTCGAAGACATGACCGTATTCAACGCATCGACATAGCTCATCTCTCCCTGATCTGAAGCCAGATCCAATTGAACCCACATCGATTCAATCATCCCCTGTACAGCATACAACCTCCGCTGGCTTGTCATCTTTTGTGTTCTTTCTAATAGACAAAGTATCATCTCCCTTTGTGTATCATTCTGCGCCTCACATCCTACAAAAAACAGTGGGAATGGTCGCTCGCATATGTCCAACTGGTGAATGATGTCAAAAGCTTCAGCGGACCATCTTGCCACTCGCCCGGCAGAAGAGAAATGTTTTAGCACGCGCTCGAAATAGATCAGCGCCGCCAATTGGTAAAGCTTGGATATTTTGGTTGCGTGTTCGACTTCTTCTGCGGGGTTTGTTACAATGAGGTGCGTTGTATCTTGGTTGATTGCCATCAAGTCGTGTTCAATGGGATTCAGGGTTTCTCGCTCGGTGTATTGAATGTTGTTAGACAGTTTACTGACAGGCTTGATTTCCGACATTCTAGCGATCAGATTTATCATTTCCAGCGAGCACCCAAATATGCCCAAAACCTGTCACTTCTATCAGCACCAGATTCAACAATGAGAGAAATAGCAATGCCCACCTGGTCATGTGCTACAGAGGCTAGAGTAGAGGTCATGCCCGGTATGTTGAATATTGACGCGCTTTCCGCTGACTGGGTCCTCCAATGCCTGGAGGTAAACTTTCCCAGAATATCATGATAATGCACCCAGAGTATGAGAAGGTCAGCATCCATCAGCTTAGGATGTCCACCGTCGCATATCACATGGAGCATACTTTTAGCTCCCGAAACATATAACGGCCATTGAAAAGAGCTCTCTGATGGTTGAAAGATCTAATCTGATAAGCAGTGTTTCAAGCAACGTGGGTGAGAAAGATACCTCGAAAGCACAGAGTAACATGCCCACAGCAGCATGCTGGTAGATTTCAGTTGTCCCGGTAATGTGGCCATTCATTGATGTGCTTAGAGATTCTAATGCTGATGTCTTTAGCCGGAGGGGCTCTTCGCCGTGGCCATAACGATATAATGATGCCACGGACAGCATTGCTCGTAGGACGGCTAGTGAGGCAGGTGAGTCGTTGGAGAATGAAAGCTGGAACAATAGTTTCCAAAGCTTAGTGCCATCTGTTCGGATTGGAGTTAATGAGCTGACTACCGTTGTCATGACTACAGCGAAGAAGGTCAGTCAGGCCGATTTTCCCGCAAAAGCATGATAATCCCGTACAGAATGTCACCAGGTGGTGCCCATCACCTTTAACTGGTGTTATTGACAAGTTTGATAATGGGAAGATATACTTGTTGTGAATTGGTAATTTTCCTAAAATAAGGAATAGCCAATCAAGTCAGCAACACAAGAGGTCAGTTTATAAACAAGATCCGAGGCAACAAAACTGACCTACGCTTTTAGGGGACAAATAAACAGACTCGACATCTGCCATTAATGTATTGATAAAATGGAGGCTTTCAGATCCGCCAGACATAGCATTCGAAATATCTCGAACAGAGTGTTGAATAAATCGGCGGGAATTATGGGCTGGCCAGCTCAGACGTAGGCCATATCCCTGGCAGTTGCGGCTCAATACTGCGCAGTTCCGACACGTCGGGCGCCTCAGATCACAGGACACTTTTCGATCTATAGTGAGGTCAGAACTTTTGTCCAATTATGTGGCTGATATACCAAAAAGTGTTGTATCCTACCGCGACATGTCCAACATCCCCGCTTCGATGGATTCCCTGCACGATATGGACCTCGTGACTTTATTGAAGACATTCCTAGAGAACAATACAGTTGGAACTTTTATTTAGAGATGAAAGATCATATGTACGGTGAGTTTCGATGAATAAATAGGAAAGAAGATCGCAAGAGGCTGACAATTCGTTAGTGGAATACGCGCCCGGCTATTCCTATTGGCTGGAAATATCCAGAGGGCGTAATAAAAGTAGGTAAATCTTTGAAATAACACAATATTTGCCACAGACTCGAGTTAACGAATATATATCATCCCGTTTCGCCTTTTTCTAGTCCGCTTACAGCCACTGTTTATTTCCTAAATGAGAAATAAATGCACCGCCATCTCCGTTGGCGATTGAGGCCTTATCCATGACAGAAAGGACAGCAGTGACCGACTCCTCCGGTGTCAGAGGTCGCTGGAAGTGCGGCGCATACTCGACGAACTTGCTTACAAGAACAGCTACCTTTTCAGCTTCTTCTGGTGTCGGTTCCTCTGCAAATGAGCCTTAGTATGTACATTCAAGACCGATCTCCTTAGCTTTCCGACATACCTAGGTTTCGCTCAGTCGATACATATCCGGGACTAACGGCGAGGAAGAGAATACCCTCCTTGTTGTAAATGGCATTGTATTTAGCAATGGCGACATTCACGGCGCCCTTGCTGATAGAGTACGGGGCGGCGAAAGCAACTTCAGTCGCATTGATCAGGTCTATATCCGCCATACCGGTGGAGATAGTGAGGACCTTTTTTCCCTTGCCGTTGCGGATTAGGGGTAAAAAGGCATGTATTGTCTTAATGACACCTAGGAGGTTGATTTCCAGCGACTCCATGAGGTCTTTTTCCAAAGTTTCGAAATCATCGTCACTATTTATTGTCAGTATCCTTTTTTCATTGATTGAAAACTCCATACTTACAAGTCTCCCAAGGTTTTGAATCCGCTGACATGCGAAACGACGGCGGCATTGTTGACTAAATAGTCGAGAGCCCCTGCGGTGATATCTTTGACCACTTCTGCAGCTTTCTAAAAGCAATCAGTATGATATGCATCTTTCATCGCATGAGTCTGCACACCTTCAAGGATTCCAAATTGGTATACTGAGCCTCGACCATATGGACATTATGGAGTCCCTCTGCCTTGGCCTTTGAATCAGCCGCAGCCTTGTTCCGGACGAGGCCAATGACAGTATTGTTTGGATTCTGAGCAAGATGCCGAACGAATTCGAACTATTCATGTTAGCTCATTTGCACAAGAAAACCATCAACGATGCTTTAATTTACTCCGAGACCTCGGCTTGCGCCAGTGATGAGATAGGAAGACATCGCTGAGTTTGTATGAAAGTGTGGACGAATTGGGGAATGAATATCTTGTCTATGAAGCACTCTGCCTACCTATATATAGTGTTCATTTATAATATCGTCGACCATTCTCGAATCTCTACTTAGTTCTGCTGATTAAAGGGAGCTTATACATACCTCCAGCAACCAAAAGGTAGGGCTTCCTGATTGGGTGAAGTCTGAAGCATGTCAAGTATTTGCGAGCCAATAGGAATATTCGAGTGGGGCATTATCAAGAACCTTGGAAGTACCCACAAGACGGTCTTTCAGCGTCTCATATTTCTCAATTACAAGTAATATGTAGCTGCTTATGAATCCTAGATACTAACATTTAGATGAACTTGTAATACTATTTTGGGCATATCAATGGGTGGAGTTACACTTATAAACCAATAGGAAGTTGCACTACAGTGTTTCACCAGGTTTGGCGAGCGCACTGTTCCGAGGACTCATATTTGAAATATTATGTTGATACACCTTCCTTTACCTTTTTCTTGCCACTAACCAATTGCTACATTGACGGGCCGTTACTTTTGATGATCAATTCCATAGGCTTGACGCTCTGTCAACGCACAACAAACTGGAGAATTCTAAATAATGTAGATCGGCATAGTATTGATAATGATAATGATAATGCCAAAATCATTAACCCGATATAGCTCGCTCTATATACACGGTGCTATGCAGGAGTGTCCTCGGGCCGACGGCTAGAAGGTGGTAGCCCACATAACGATCAGAGCGACTCACAAACCAAACGAGACGTGGCGTTCAATAACCGTACCTGGATCGTTGCCAGTCGATACTGCGATATTGGAGATGGTGTAGATTCCCTTGAACGCTACATTCATTCCCTGCGGTATATGTACTACGACCTTGGCCAAAACATCTCCTCCGAATCACCTGAACATGAGGGTATAGTCCTCGATATCCTTAGTATTCAAGGAATGGGACCGTTGACTAGACCTGCACGGGGAGCTATTGGAATAGATATCGCAAGAACCGTCGACGGTACACTGTGGAATGATCTCCCTTCTTGGCTAGCGATATGGCTGATTACTGGGTCGATAACAGTGCTTCTATGTTGGGAACACACCGTCTCAACTTTGCAACATTCTTGGCTAAACTTGCATCCACTCGTGTCGCTAAGGACAGGCTTTGCCAAGTTGCTCTTTTGATCTTCCGTAATCTCTTTGAAAGCCATCAAGTACTTCGCTCTGGGGAATGGTCAGATGAGGAAGACCTTAACCGAGGGATTAAGAAGCTTGGGGTCTTTCATCTATTACCCGCTGCTATTATTTGGCTAAAAATAGCAAGTCGTAACCTCTTTTTACTATCAGAGGTGTATTGGAATGATGGCCCGAGCGAAATTAGCAATGGTGGCGAGCTGTTCCTAGAATCAGAGCTTGGTCAGCGATCACCCACTAGATTCTCGCCATGGAGATACATGTTCTGGCTGAAGTGACTTCATGAGATTCAGGAAGAAGCCAAGGAGGCTAATGAAAAAGCCATCGAGGAACTTGCCACTGATGGCATCGAGCTAATGGTCAACACAATCAAAGCAAACAAGTAGACGGGCCGAATCAAGATTATATATATTGATGAGTCCGCCCAAGAGTGGGCTGAATCGAGCAAACTTGAAACGATCACAGAGCTCTGTCTTATGGAGTGCAGTGACGTGTGCGAAAGTTCGACTCTTCTATCGGCACCTAGGGCTTTGAAGAGCAGGTACGACTAGACCATCATGCAGAGACGCAACTTCCTCAAAACTGTCGGTTTACTTCGCCATTTTGACCTCGCTTGCAACCATGCCAAAGAAACTGCGTATACCTACATACGGAGAGACCCAAATTTTCCAGCATCCGTAGTGATCGGGGAACTACGGTCCTGCAATCGCCTTCGGCTTCTCCTTGGGGGCCGAGCACGTGGGGTCGTCGGGAAACCGAGATAGGCTTTTTCAGATACGCAAGGCCCCTTCCTAACCTAATGCCGTATTCCTCGGCTTATGGCTGTTGAACCGGAGCAGCCCATGATGCTGCCAAGATACATTCGGTACTATTGAACTAGGTTAATGTCCATTTACCCTGGGCCTCCCAAGTTCAGGTCGCGGTGCTCTGTAATCACCCCGCTCCCGGCACGTGAGGCCCCGCTATGGAGATCTGGGGGGACTTCCCGAGGTTGAATCGATGTTTGTGTGTCATTTTCAATCTGGTCCTTAGCATTGAGATCTGATGGCCGCAGATTTCTGGGCTGGCTATATCAGCGGAGCCGTTGGGATTATAATTGGCAATCCTCTCGATGTCATCAAAGTCCGGTTGCAGGCGGGACACTCACATGCCGATACATCAACGGCAAATTTGAGCCGCTTCGAAAAAGCAGGCTCTCTTGTTCGAGGTCCGTGTCGCGCTGGTGATACAAGGACCAATTAATTGACCATCATTACAGGCGCGGCTGCTCCGATCTTGGGATATGGAGCTCTCAACGCTATTCTTTTTGTTGCATACAACCGATCCTTAACAGCATTGGATGGGTCCGTAACGGATCCCACCAATCCCGTGGGGGTCTCGCCTTACAAGATTTGGCTGGCTGGTGCCGCAGGCGGACTGGCTAGCTGGACCATCTCGTCGCCAACGGAGTTCATTAAGTGTCGGGCACAGCTGGATCGCCGGCCGGATGTTTCCTCGTGGGCGGTCGCCAAGGATATCTTCCGAACGCGTGGTTGGAGGGGCCTTTACTTTGGGGGCGGGATTACTAGCGCCAGAGATTCAATTGGCTATGGATTCTAGTATGGAACTCTCACGCCACCCCCGGATACCCCAGTGTATCAATTGAGGGATCAATGCTGATCTAATGCAGTTTCTGGTCCTACGAACTTTGCAAACGATTTATGACCTCTGATGATGATAGTTCACACCAGACAGCTATGAAGATTCTGCTTTGCGGTGGCATTGCCGGCGTTGTTACTTGGGGCTCTGTGTTTCCTTTGGATATGATCAAGACACGACTGCAGGCACAGACAATTACAGATCTTTCGCCCAGGACTGAAAGCCAGTCTCTGCTGCGACCACAGCGCGAGACGCTTAGCTCTTTCCAAATTGCGAAAGAGACCTATCGTGTCGAGGGCATCAAGGCATTCTATCGTGGCTTTTGGGTGTGCAGTGTCAGAGCGTTCATTGTGAATGCGGTCCAGGTATGTCTTTCCCGTGTTATAACAATTAGACAACTAACATCTGATAAAGTGGGCGGCATATGAATGGTTGATGAAGAGCTTTAATTCCTGGGACGCACAAGTGAAAGCCCAGGAGCCCATACCGGGCATATAAATATGTTCAACCTTGAGAGGTCAAGCTTAGAATATCGAAGATCAGGAAGATATCAAAACAAAACAATCAAAGCCAATATACACAGTTACCGAAAACCGATTTAGGTTAGATTCTATTTGGTATTGAGGGATTTCTATTGGAATTACTCGAGAGTATTGCTAGTAAGGGGGTAAATTTCGCCCAGATGCCGTTTTCGCCGGTTATCGGCGGTTTCGAGTCACCCGCAAAACGGAAAAGCGGTAACACCGCGAGTATCGGCAATATAAAAAAATTGCTTCACGTGAGACTCCACCGAGATGCACGAACAGAATGGGTAAAGTCAACATCAGCACATGGCTCGATGTATGGAAAACTTTTGTATGTCGATTTGCTGAAAAGAGGATCGTGGTCGCGTAGCAAAGGTTTGATTTTTATCCCAGAAGGCGAAGGTCTAGCTTCGATTCAGTCCTTCATCACGTCGGGGTTCTCTTCGCGCTTGCCATTATCAATCAAACCGAGTCCGATTGCACGCTCGGCAAGCTGTTGGCTGTGAGGCTCTTCGCGCAAGATACGAAGTCTGAAATACACGTAGCCGGTCAGCGATAGGACGGCAAACAAGGTGTCGGGTTACACTCACCTCCGCTTGTGGTTCTTGCCCTTGGTGTGTGCCTTGAGGTTGTAGTCGCTCTCAAACCATTTGGAGCATTCTGTGCAATAGAACTTGCCTAGACCAGGCAAGTCCTCCACGTCTTTTGTGTCCTTAAACTTCTGCAGGTGACCTTGAGTTTTGATATCCGCGACGACTAGATCGTAGTCTCTGTGAGTAGGTTAGCGATCAGCACCATAGGTACTCCGTAAAGGGAGCGTAGACGTACCTAGTGCGGCGCTTGTTCTTCACTTTTCTGAGAGCACCCATTGTAATTGATAGCCGAAATACCTCGGAGCTGGAGCCGAATATCAAAATAGATGCAAGTGAATGAAAATTGGTTATCACCGATTTCCGGAGTGAACGGAGAGGAAAGCGGGTCAAAGAGGTCAGGGACAATAGCGAGGGTTTGAGATGAAATTTCCACCGATTTGTGGGTCGCGGACGATTGAAATAGCTGAGATTTGATTGGTTGGCAATCAGACACGGCATCTTGGCGGCGCGGGATTGCCATTCGGCTCACCTCGGCTCAGTCCATTTCGTCACCGTACGTGTATTTAATGACGTTTGCATGCGGTATGTTGCTCCGATCTAAGAAACTGTAGTTCAATATCAAGTTTTGAAGTATAAAAGTACATATAGGTATAGAGGAGGTTATAGGGGAAATACTTCAAGAAAGTACTCTATTAAGCAATATTCCCAAGGTTACATTGTAGCTAATAAACAGATGATCAATAGCTAGATTGATACTTTTGAAACCGAATGCACATGCGTCAAACTTGTAGCACGGGTTATAGGCCGAGTTACATGAGAACACATTGACCTTTTTCCAAAGCCCTTTGGTCCGAACTGGGAGAACTGGGCGAAGGGGCCCTTGTAATTGGAAACTCCGTGATTGGTGGCCGAGTTATACCCGTCACATGCCTTGTATCGCCATTACGTTTCCGGTACAACAAGGCGAACACACAAGGCCACAGATATTGAATATTGAAAAGTTCACATGGGAAGAGAATATGGATAGAAAAAGAATCGGATGTATA